TGGTGGTTTTCGAAAATAATCCAACTCATTGCTACCGTACGGTTACGTTTTCTCATCAAATGCGGACGTGTTAAAAAAAAGTAACTGCACACTTTTGCCCGAGGGGTTTTACGCATGTGACCGTCATTAAACATGTGCTCGGCTAAAATTTTGAGAAATATTAATAAACATTCAATGAACAATGTAAGTTTCGTGCTTGTTGAACAATAGCCCGCGTGTATGGCTGGACGAAATTGGTTCTCATGTGAATCGGGTAACGATACAATAAGGTTTATTATTTGTCCGACACCCCTAAGTAAAATACACTGTTTAAATTGGTATAATTTTAGACACGCAACAACAATATGTCGTGTTACAACTTTGCTTCCTAACCATACATTTATTGTCCTACAGAATCGGGTTTTAAATAAAAAATAAAGGACTGTCTGCAAGTTTCGGCAGCTTTCCGAAATTATTATGCCTTTTCATCGTGAGGTAAACATTTTTACAATTTTTGATTTGTTATAACGGTCTCTTCGATTCATAAAATGGGGCGTGAAAGATCTCTTGGATTTTTTCTCAAATTTGCTGGGGAAGGTCATATATTGAATATTTGAAATGCTACAGAAAACAGTTGCATGGGATTTGGATCTGGAAAGATAGGAATTGTCTCCATTGCTACTTTAACCCTGTCATGCAGGTTTTCGGCGCTCCATATCTTCATATTCCGGGAGTTTATTTTATTGGTTTAGTGTATGGTAATTTTTGATTAATTTACTTGCCTGTTGATAAAAAGCAGTTTGGGTTGTTTTAAGTGGCATTGAAGAATTCAAAAATGGGATACAAAGCGAAAAGGAATTTGGTTCGGTTCAAAAAAGACAAAATCTTTTAAATTATGCCCTATTGCATAAGGCGATAGGTAGGTCTATTTTTGAAATCCCTACGATCAAATGTACAAGATTTAATTTAAAAAGCGACGATTTTTGAAAATGTTTTTGCTTCCTTATTTATTTTATTTTTGGTTTTGTGGATGGGGTTTTAGTCACGGTTGCTCTACCAACCCAACCCACTATACATTTATAAATGCCCATGTCCGAACCCGGCTTCGAACCAGGAACCCGTAGTCTCTCAGTAGAGATTCCATTCCACTGCGCCACATAGGCCGGTTTTAATGAGGTAAAGCTACCATGGAAACTTCATCGATTGCGATTTTTTCCAACAAATTTTTGAGGGTATCCTTCTGTAACGCGTTCTTTGCCTCAAATATCAATATCTGAGATGTCGTTCGATCAAATCGGCAGTTTTTTTTTAATTTGTGAGAAGCTTCGGGATTTTTGGGATTATCACGTATATAAAGTGACTTTTTTTGAAAATTTAGTTGTCTCCAGTGCTGTACATAAACGTGTTCGATGTCTCACTAGGGATTATTGCCGTGGAACTGCCTTCAAACACCAGGCATTTTAAAATTAATACGATTTTTAATCAGTATCAATGTTTGAAGCCACAAAAAGGTCACTTAGAGACCTTAAATTAACGTCAAACTTTTGCGTTCACTTTATCATGTAGATCGTCGATGTTAATACAAAAAAAAACAAAAATTATGAATTTATTGAAGGAAATTTTTGAAAAAATCAGTAGGTATCTTCATATCGGTTCAGATTTAACGCATTTGCAGCTCTACTGTCCGGATGGAAATCATCTGTTAAATAAGTAATCGTTTCGTAACGGAAAGTCCAGAAAAGTACCAACTTTGCGCCAATTTATTTAAATTTTTTTCACTTTCCTTATTTGTTTATAAAGGCATGCAAAATTCAAAAAACGAAAATATGCTTATACAGTCAAAACCGTGCTTTTCTGCATAAGGCGATGGGGGTATTTTTAAAATGCCCATTGCCTAAATGTATAAGATCCAGTCAAAAAAGCGACATTAAAAAAATTTTTTTTGCTGTGGTTTTAATGATGTAAGGCTGCCACAATTTCGACTTTCGAAGTAGGCGTTGAATTTTGACGAAACCTTCTGTAACGTGTTTTTTGTGGAAAATTGTAGCATAGGTCATCGAATCGACCTTTTTTTTTTATTTTTTAAAGATGTTTTCGTTCTTACTGGAATATCACTTATACAGGGTGGGCCATTAGTGCGTGAGTGGAAGATTTATTAACGCACACATTTAGAATTCCTTTCCGGGGAATGTTTAAGGACGCTTAAGGCTACATAAAACCTAAAAATGTGTTTAACGAAATTGCAGTTACTGTACAGGGTGATTTATATCAAAATTGCATGTCTTAAATAGAATATCTTGTATATTATTGCATATTTCGATTCCTTGGTCAATTTTAGTGTGAGTTTATGTATTACACATATCTAAAATGAGTCGTCAAAAATTAGATGTCCGGTAAAAATATCATGAAGCTTAGAAGGCCGTGACTCTGCAGTGCATGAAATTGACCAACATCAAGTCAAATTATAAAACACTTACCCCAAACAAAACAAAACAAAAAATCTTTTGGGTTTTTCATAGCTCATTTTATAAGGAGTCGAAATATGCAATAATATACAGGGGGTTCTATTTCAAAAGTGCAACTTTGATCTAAATTACCCTGTATAATAATAGCAATATTGAGATTTAAGTCAGAAAAAAAGGTCAGTTAGGCACCACAAATTATTCGCATCAAACAACCTCCAATTTCCGATCATTTAAAAATGTCACTTAGGGACTCAAATTTCCGTCAATCCTTTTCACTACTTAATCTCGTGATTTAGCGTCGATTTTAACAAAAAACAGAATTTTTAAATTTTTGATGACAAGTGCCCATTTTGCGCACATTTCGATTACTTTTTTCATTTTCACTTTGGTGTCGTTTTGCAAAGACGCTTTTTGAAAAAAATGGTGTCAATTCAATAAAATAAGAATAAGTCAGAAACTGTTAAAGATAGCTATAGGAACATGTATTGTCAAATATGCCCATTTCGATTCTTTATCTCATGCAATAGTAAGAAAATGGTCATTCCATTTAAAAAACTGAGTTTTTAATCTTTGAAGTTTCATAAATTTGGATCTCCAACTTAACTTTTTTTAAGGTCACTAAAAGAAAGCCCTATTCATTCTCTATGCACTGATAAAAATAGGTTGCCATGACTATAACCGTTTCCAAGTAATTAATTATCAAGATACCATCTGCATCTGCCATTTTTTTTCTTAGAGTCAAAATAACTTAAAATCCATAAATGGCAGATATCGACAGGTGGGTATCAAAAGAACTGAAATTTCACGTAAAATCCAAAAATGCAATAAAAAATAGGGGTTGCCACTTAAAATAACGAAGTTACTAGCTACTTCCGGTATTTCCGAAAGTGCGACCATTTTGAAAATATTTATACATCGATTCGGCCTTCAGAGTAACTCCTAAGTACAAATTTTCAAAAACCTACATATTTTACTTTCCCAGAAACGTTTAACTAAAGGTCACAAAAAAACACCCTGTATAACATGCAATTGATCAAGCGACGATTTTTGACAATTTTTTTGCTTCGGTTTAGTGATTTTAACGAAACCTTCTGTGGCCTGTTCTTTTGATAAATTGCAACGTCCGACCTGCCTGTAGATCAAATTGGCAATTTTTTTGGATTTGTTAGGGATATTTTTATTTTGTGGGAATATCCGGTATATAAAGTAATTTTTTCTGAAAATTTCGATTCAACTTGTCTTCGGATCTGCACATTGACGTGTTCTAACGGTTAAGAATTACCCCGATTTTTAGGCAATATCACGTTTCAGACAACAAAAAGGTCACTTAGGGACTTCAAATCCCTTTTGCGTTCGCTTATTTTAATTAGGCAGGGTGTTACATGTAAGTATGTAAACAAAAATTGGGTGGGAGAGGGATCAAAACAAGAACTTTTTCCAAATAAACCGAGGGTACAACGTGTTTCGTTTGGGAGTCACCCCCAAAAAAGGGGTGAAATTGGGATTTCTTCTTTAATTTTTTCTCAGCAACCAAAAAGTTACAAAGACTGGTGGCACGCCTTTCAATAGGTTTTGGGGATGTTTTTTCCGATTTTGAAAATTTTTTTTCAAAAGTTTTTGTTTAAAATTTGCTAAAATGCATACAGTGTGTCTCCCGATTGTTTGTTTGTAAACCAAAAAAAAAACTTCTGTGGATCAGCTCCGCTTTGTAGGAAATTAATTTGTAACATAATTTTAGCTTCGAAATCGCCTTTGAAATTTTCAAAAAAACGAGATACGTACAAATGTTGTTGAGAGTAAAAAACATGTAAAATGTAGGGCCTAGATTTTTTTAATGTTTTTATTTTGTAACTTTTGAGGAAATCCGAAAGAATGGTACGTAAAAAAACTATTCAGAATAGAATGTAATGACCGTTACCGTATGGCCCATTTGAGCAAGTTCAATTAAAATCCTCAATTTTCTTTTGCTTTTAAGAAACATTTTTTTCGGATTTCCTAAAAAAATCCGCAGGTCAAAAATAAAACATAAAAAAATCAAAGTAGGCCTAGGACTCAGATTTTCATTCTGAACAACTTTTGTGCGTATCTCGTCTTTGAAGAGCACTTTACTGATATGCAAAAAACGTTTTTTGAAAATTTCAAAGGCACCCTTGATTTTTCGAAACTAAATTGTCACAAACTAGTTTCCAATCAGGCAGGATTGATTTTGGACCTTTGCAGTACTTCGCACACTCCATTTCTCCCGGCAAGCTGCGAATCCGATCAACTTTGGCTTTGAAGGTCTCTGGACTGTGAACAAACGACGAAATTTAGGAGCGGGGAGTGGAGGGGGACCACAGCCTTAGAATATTCGAGTGCCTGTGTAGATCATCCGGAATCACCTTATGGGAATTAAAAAATTAACCTGTACGCAATAATACGGAATTACGGGTATACCTAAGTTTAAGAGTTTCCCCATTTAATTATAATGACAGAAATAATTAATTATCATTTATCAATGTTGCACACCTTGAAACTTTGACGAATAGCAATTGTTTATAAATCGATTTTTTCCAGATTCGCCCAGTTTTCCGACCTCTTCGAATTTTCCAGGTTAGTGAAACGAAATTATGATGCACATTATATACCTAGAACTTTGCACCAATAAATATGCTTAATTTTAGTATGCGAAACGCGTACGTACTTTCGGCTTGTCGAAATGGTCTCGCTTTCGTGTTTGTACAGGTAAGACTCGTTAATGGCGTCGGAAACAAATCGCCGGTAATTACGTGCAGTAATAATAGATAAAGAAACAAACACATTAATACTTAATTATTATTACGTAGTAATCAGCGCAGCAACTTAACAAACCTAAAGTAAGATGCTGTGGGAAATTCGCTGGCGCGGCTGATAAGGCCGTTTCCTGTTCGGCCGACGATAACGTTAATATTTCGAAAATGTTTGTAACAGTAACGTATAATAAAAATTCTTTCTACCCACTGCAATTCGAAAGGGGTAAAATTTTTCTCTTGTGAATTCCACTGTCTGAAAATTCATATACGCGATGGTTATGTGAAAATCCCGGCGTTAGTCAGACGAGCGAGGGACAGAGACAGTTCGACTGATTCATTTCCTTCTTTCTGTAGAAGTCAATTAATTGAATTTTTAAATATTTAGACTGCACAAATTTTTAAACGTGGAATTCGTTCCTCGTTATTTGCGAAGTTGCAAAAAATAAAATTGTACGAATTTCCCCAAATTTTGTATTTTTGTTTGTAGTTCCTATCACGAGATGGCATATCTCCAAATGGGGGCATCCAAAGGAATTTCTTCAACGACATTTTAGTTTGAATTTTTTAATTCTTTAGATTCATTCAGTTTAAAGAAATACATATTTTGAGACTTGGTTTATTTGCAAAATATTGTTGATTTGATCCTCTGTATTTACCAATTTTTAAAATGTTTATACATAGGGTGTTCAGATTCTTCATTCTTCAGATTCTTCAGATTCCTCCGACCCCCTCAGATTTATCAGATTCTTCAGATTGTTCAGATTCTTCCGATTCCTCAGATTTATCAGATTATTTTCAGATTCCTCCGACCGCTCAGATTTATCAGATTCTTCAGATTTTCCCTATTCTCCTGATTCGTCAGATTCCTCAGATCCTTCAGATTCAGATCTTCAAATCTCGATCCTTTAATTTTGAAATGTAGGGTGGAGGTGGAGAGGGAACCAAGACTTGATGCAATTTATTGTGTGGAACTATTATTATAACACAGAAGGGTGGAACTTGTGGCTTTACCTAGGTTTCTCGGTATCCCCTTTCTAATATTATAAAAACATTTCTAATCATGCACTCCTAAATTGGTAGTACGAAAAAAAATTCTTAGTTTGATAGTATTTGGTTCTGCGAGTTTGGATATCTAGCGAAGAGAAGAGTATACTATTTTCCTCTAAAGTCCATGGTCTCAGATCGATCCTGAAAAGACTTACTCTCTTGAAGGCTTTGGCCCGTAGAATCCGAAACAAACAGAGTTTTCTATTTTGGAAAATTGCATCAAAAATCCGATTGGGTCACCAATTCATATAAAGGTGGTGTTAGAAAGAGGGACTTTTAGTAAGTAGGTACATCATAAACCTCCCTTATTCCTCTACGAAACGTACATTTCTTTGGTGATTAAGGCCTTACTTTTGACAAAAAAACACACCTAGTTAATATAAAGTACTGTAGACTAACGCGTTGAAAATCAGAGTCTAATGTAAGAAACGACTCACTGGATTTACAGGGTGTCCCATTTCGACACTTTTATATAGGCCCCGCAATAGTAATAAAAAGTAATATAGGCGTTATGTGCTCTTTTTGGGGCAAACGTCAAATTTTGAAAATATTCGCTCGCTTAAGAGATACGGGGGAAAATCACAAAGATTGTGAATTTCAGAATGATCCTATTAGAAGAGATACAACAAAATTTTTATAACAAAAGTTTGTTTATAATGATGTTGAACTCTTTTTTCCAAAATATAAAACTAAAAAAGTTCAATAGTGATTCAAAAAGATTCAAAAAAAGTTTTAAAAAAATTTTAAAATTTGATAAATTGTGTTTAACTATTTGAATTTTTTTAATTTTGTTCTTAATCTTTTAGAATAATTTTTGAATATTTTTTAATTACTTGAACCTTTTTTGAATAATATCTCTATTGATTCTAAACGATTCAAAAAAGATTTTTTTAAATTTAAACTTTCACAAATTTTTTAATTTTTTTTCAATTATTTGAACCTTTTTTTAATTTATTCCTAATCTTATGGAATCTTTTTTGAATTTTTTGAATCACTTGAATCTTTTTCGAATATCATCTCTTGCGTGATATACAGGGTGGCACAATGAAATCGAAACAGACTAAATAATCGCAAGAATATAGTTTTTGGAAAAAACGCAAAAACACTTCAAAATTAACACCCCTGCTCTCAACTACCCAAACAGGGTTGCTACCCCTTCAATAATTTTCTGTGTTGATTTCTTATGGTTTATGTTTTTCAGGATTATTTTGTGTACCTAAATTTGTTATAACCAGGTTCATTCACGTAAAAGCTTGAATATTCATTTGAATTATTTGTAATTTGACACCCTGTATTCTATACAAACGATTCGTTCAAATTGGAAAAATAAACCATAGGCGTAATAGGAAATTAAGAGCCCTTTCCAATGATGTGTCACTCGACCCCACGCTCAATTTAAAATTAGTGAAGGGGTGGCAACCCTGCTTGGGGGGTTGACAGCAGGGGAACAAATTTTGAAGTAAAAGATCTCCCCCTTGCAATCCAAATCGCCGTGATTTTGCGTTTGCTTCAAAAGTTATTTCCTTACGAGTTATTCATTTCTGTTTCGTTTTCGTTGAGCCACCCTGTATTTATTTTTGAAAGGAGAATTTAATACTTGTGCTATCCACATCGCTAAGAGCCTCTATGGTTTTTGGAACGGATGCGACACGTGGGAACTTCCCCAAAGTTAAGTTGAGATGACTAGTACATAGATAGTTGTCCCACGGATTCAATCGGAGTGGAATCTTGTGAACAAGGGAATATCGATAAGAACGACGGTGTAAAATAGATAGTGATATATGAACTGCTCCCTCAATTATAAATTTCGTGGTTATTCTATGTAAGAAAGAGGCAAACAGGTTTAGTCACTGCGGCTACTGGAATTTTATGGAGTTTTCTGACCAAAATCACGATCGCCCGCATTTATTTCTAAATTTCGACCGGTTTTTTATGACCAGTGAAATAAATGGCTTTATTTTCGACCTTACGTCTGCAATGCATACCTATGAATGCTTATAGACCCGTGCCGTTATTTTTGTTCATAGTCACATTGTCTATCATTGTCAAAAAAAGTATCTTTAATATTTCGTGACATTTTTACGTTGTTTACGAATAATATGCGCTTAGCGCAGCAGACGAACTCTGAAAGCAAAAATGAATTAGATGAAGAAAGTGCGTGTGGACTGTTCAGTGGTTGCAGAACACGTACCCATAGATATTGCTGAAAAACATGCTCATATTTAAATGTTTATTGTTCAAAAAAGGTTGGGGAGACACATATGCCCTCGCGGAAATTTAGTCGCCTACTTCTATACCTTTTTTTTTGCGTATTTCTGTTTACTCGGCGCTTTGAAATAAATGCGGGCAGTCGTGATTTTGGTAAGAAAACACTATAAGCCTTCACTAGTAGGTAATAGATTGGACCGATTTCATCCAGTTTCTCTTACAAGGCATTGACAGTAACAGTCTGGTCGTGGGATCTCGAAAACTCTAGAAAATACGAAGAGCTGTAAAAAAAAAGAACATTCCGAGTACTTCCGAAGCTATACTAGAACAACCGAAATTTGCCGAATTTAGTTCTTTTTTTTTGCTTTTATTTGAACAGATATAACAAAATAAAAGGAACCCTTTCTCATCTTAATCAATACCCTCGGTGTAGAGGGTGCGAAGAAATAAGAAGAAGAAATACCTCTGCACATACTGGGTCAGTGTATAGGGTATAGTACCCAAGAAACAGATTGATGGACGCATCAGGTATGCTACAAAGTGTTCCTCTCAAGATGATCCTGGATTTTTTAAAAGACCGTACGCATCTGAAGATAACGTAAAATAAAAGCAACAAGCATTTGACAACTTTTTACACAATTAGAGTACACTCGCTCTATTCAACATTCGATGGGAAGACGTTTTCCTGAAGGAAATTCCACTCCGCCGCTTGGAGCGATTCGTGGCAAGAATCTCAACTTCCTGATGTACCCACCGGCTTTTTGAAACAACAAAAAACCGATATTTATTTAAAATAACAGACAAATAAAAGAGGAACCGATAAATACTGTGGCTAGATTTAATCGCGAAAGGAAAGGGTGACCACCACGGCCGCAACAAGATATACGGTTACACACGATGTTCCTAAAACCCGAAGATAAAATAAAAAGTTGCAATAGGGAAAAGGCGTCGAACTTACATACTATAATTAACAATTAAACAAAAAAAATTCTCTAATCTCTTGTTAATTAAAAATTTCTGATAATTTCTATTGATTCGGATTCAGAGCTTTTCCTGTTTATTAAGCGTCGAGATTATTTTCTTGAATTGTTCGGCAAATTGTAATTAATGTTATAGTTTGAAATTATTATTTAAACAATACCTTGGCGATAACACACATATTGAATGGAAACGGGGCAGAAATTGAAATCGAATTGAATAAACGGCGTTTTAATTGCCGGAAATTTTCATTTTAATTTACTCACTATCGATAAGTATAATTACCGCTTATCATTTCGGAATTTATCTCAAAAAACTTGGATAAACTGCTAATCGGAAGTGGAAAAAAGAATACGTTTCACAAAACTATGTAATTAGTGGGCTGCTTTATAAATTATGGACGTACACGTTAAAACAATCGGCGCGCATTTCGGCGTACACGACATGTACAAAACGCATCCAGGTCATGAATGCACATGAGGTGTACTGAATGCGAATAGGTACATCCACCTACAGCTGGATAAATACAAAATACGCATATAGAGATTCAATCACTGATAAATGCGTCAGATTAGCAATTTACAAATC